CATTTCCTTCTCCTCCACTACTCCAAAGTCTGATACATCCAAATAGATTCTGTAACAGTAAACGTTAATACCAAACTTAGTTACTTACTGATAATTATAATATTGTACTGTAAACGCTAAACGAATTACTCTTTTTTTTGTAGTATTTTTTAATAAAAATTGAAAATGAAAATAATAATTTTTGATTTTGAACTCTTATCAGCTGTACAGTAAAGATGGATGACGACAGTGATAAAAATTGAAAACATAACTGTAACGATGATACAGAGATGACAATTATAGAAAATAATAAGAATGTTCAATGATACTATACCATTGATTGTGTGTGTGTGTGTGTGTTCAAAGCAGCAGCAGTGATCTTTCAACTAAAAATGCTATTAATTTACTGCAAATAAATTTTTTTTTTTTTTCTGTCTACAACAGTTAATAGTTCATTTCCGTTTTTAATGCTTATAAAAAAAAAAATTTTTTTTTTTAATGACTTATAACAGTAACAATTTGCAATAAATAATTCAAACAACAAATTGTTTTCAAAAATTGATCTTTTTTTTTTTTTTTCTCCTTTTTAATCACTCTTCATTTTTCACTTTTACAAAAAGGTTTAACCTTTGCTGTTCATCTTTCAATTCCTATCCTTTTTTTTTGCTCTTTCAATTACATAGACTACAGATGTCTGTTGTTGAGAAAAGAAGAATTCAAAAAGATATAAAAGCAAACAAAAATAAAAAAAATTTATTAACTTTTACTTCAACAATCATCTGAAAGTAATAAGAAAATAATGAATTTCTGCTTATTTTACAGTCAAAAACTGCTTCTTCTAATTTTGCATATACTATCGTAACTGTAAAGAAACAGTTTTTGGCTTACTAAAGTAAGACTTCAAGGTAATACACATTATCTGCAGAGGCGAAAAAAAAAAGATGAACAACTTAGCTGTTTCAGATGTGTTCTGTGGTACAGAGGAAACCAGAGAAACAACTTCTGCACGAACCAAACGATACGCTGTTGGAGGTGACAATTTTGTGTCCTTGTCGTTGTTTTTGTCATTGTTTTTGTTGTTGTTGTTGTTGTTCAAATTACCACCTTCAACTTTTTCTATTACATCATTTTTGCATTCAGAAAACCGTCTTAAAGCAAAAAAAAAAAAAAAAAGTTATTAAATTAACACAAAAATAGAACTTTATTTTTATTTTTGCTTTTTTTTTTTTTTTCAGTTTTAATTTGCTAAAAAATCTTTTTACGTACAGTTTTTTGGTTTATGAAATCTATATGATAAAAGAGCGATATTTCTTTTTCTCTTCTACTACTTAAACCCTTAAATACAGAAATAAATAGTATGCAATTAAAATATCAAAAAAAAAAAAATTTTCTTTTATTTGGGAAAAAAAATAAACCAAAAAAGGGTATTAACTTGATCAACTTTTACAATAGCATAAACATGCATCTCTACAAAACAGTAGTTATCATAGTTGTTTCTGTCAGTTGTTGATCAGTCAACCAGCTTAAGGTAGACTGTTCTTCAGAGCTCGGACGTTTGCCAACCAAAGTAATCCGGTATCGTGTATCTCGTTATCCCAGATGGGAGTTGCACAAATCGTTGAGCAGACAGAATCTAAAGCTTTACGTAGACAACGCACTTCGCCAGGCAACAAAAGTACATTTTGCCACAAAACTAAACCTGAAATGAATGCAATAAATTGTCCTTAGAATGACGCTTCTAAGCTGTTTATTATTAATAGTAAATAATAGTTGTTCGCATGATTTTTGCTGTTTCTTTTTAAGTTAATAATCTATGTTTTTCGTCTTAGTTTACTTGCAAATTTGTCACAAGACAGTATTTTTTTTTTTT